GCGGAGCAGGGGGAGGAGGGCGGTGAAGGCGCCAGCACCGGCCAGGGCGGGGGGCGGCCACCTTTGAAGAGCACCCGGCTGCCACTGAAGCTCGAAGCTCAGCCGAGCCCAGGGATTAGTGGGTAAATCCCATGGGACACAGGACGGGCCCCCAGGGCACCCCCGGCCGCATGCCCCGTGCACGCACCACTGCACCCAGCCGCCGCGTCAGCACAGCGGGGGCACGTGGCCCCCGGGGATGGGGATCGAGGGGACAGTCCCATCCCCCTGCCCGGCGGCACGGGGCTGTGTGGGGGTCCCACCCCACGGGTGCCTCCAGGAGGGGACGGAGGGGCTGTGGTGCTGGGCAGGGTCATCGTGGGGACAAGGACATCTGTGGGGCTGGGGGGCCCCGTGATGAGGGGGCCGTGGGCAGGGGGGTGCTCACTTATGGGTCATGTCCTCCATGCTGATGCGGCCCCAGACGCCCACCACGAAGGTCTCCACCTCGCATTCGTTGACGCCGCGGGCGATGCGGAAGTGGCCGCCCTCGCCCCACGCCGTGCCCCAGGAGTTGGCCGCGGTCTGCGGAGGGGACATGGGACACGACTCAGGGCTGTGTGGCCCAGCTGAACCCCCCCCTCCCCGAGCTGGATTGCACCTGGGCATGGGAAAGCAGCACTGGCACCCACCCACCCCAATGACTGAGCCCCAACAAACTCGTGACACCCGCCAACACTCACCCAGTATTTTTGGGTCTGGCCATCAGGCAGCTGCTCTTCTCCCCACCTGCGTTGGAAGGGCAAGGGCAGTGAGCGGGAGTCCCAGGGCACCCCCTTGGGCTGCACCCCGTACTGTGGGCATCACCCCGCCCAGCACCGCGATAGCGGGGTGCTGTGTTGACCCTGCCTGTTTCCTGGTCCCGGCACCTCCCCAAAGGCCAGGCCGAGGTGTTTATGTCCGCTCCCAAAATACAGGCAGGTATATTTAGCCGTGGGGAAGAGGAAGGAAGCTGCTGGCACAGGGCAGCCAGCGCCACTCCCCTCCTCGGGCTCTGCACCTCCAACCTGCCTCCCTCCACTGGGGGGGCTGAGCACCATGCACTCGTGTCACTTGTATCTGCAGCCCCGAGGCAGGGCTCCCCTGCATCGCACCCCGCACCCTCCTTCCCTCCCCGCTTCCTCTCCCTGCCCAGAGGAAGGGGACGCCTTTCCTCCCCCGAAGAAAACGCTTCTCCCGCCCGGAGCAGGGCTCTCCACACCCCCTGAGCCCCCCACGCCACCCCCCACCTACCCGGTGATTTTGACCCAGTGGGTCCCGTGTCTCTGGTGCTTCGGCCCCTTCCCCTCAGCCACCGGCGTGTGCCGATAGATCCCACTCTTGTACATGAAGAAATCCTCGTGCACCTCCAGGATGGCTGCGGGCAGGGGGAGAGGGTCTGGGGATGCCGGCCATGCCCCAGGGGACGGGGTGCAGAGCTCCTGGGGCTCCTCGACCCCCACAGCGGAGTATACGGGCAGTGGGGACTTGGGGCATCACCCAGGAGGGGGAAGGTGGCAGCCAGATCCTCCCCCAGGCGATGTGACAAGACTCGGAGGAGGATTAAAAAAAATAAAGTAAACCAAAACCGACTGCCGAGACGGAGATTAAATCTCAGGAGTTAATGAGCAACAAGTGCCCGCTGGTGTGGGCAGCGTGACGGGCACCCTGGGGCTGGCGAGAGCACGGCGCTGCCCGGGCATGCGGCTAAACATTAAGCAGGGAGAGCAGCCGAGGTGGGGGGTCCCGGTTCCCACACCGGCCCCCGGCCGCAGGCAGGGCAGCTTCCCCCACCCACCTCACACCCCCGGCCATTGCAGCACCCAGCTTCGGGGTATGCGGGTGGGGTGCCCATGCTGGCTCCCTACCTTGCACAGGGCCGTTCTCCAGCAGCTCCTTCATGATCTCCTTCTCCTGCAAGCACAGAGCCGGGTGGTACCGGGGCCGGGACCCCCGGTACTGCCCTCCCCGCCCCCCGGGGATGCAGCCAGAGGCCGTTTCAGCACCCACGGGTAGGTGTTGTGGAGATGCCAGGTGGAGGAGCAGCTCCCCTGGGGGTTCCGTGGCGGGTTTTTCCCAGCTTCATTTCCAAACTTGGCTTTCTCAGGCAAACCACCCCGAGCCAAGCCCCTTCCCGCTCCCCACACCAAACGGCTCCTGCTTCGCCCACGCTGGCGGCCCTGCCCGTCCCGGCCCCATCCCGCGGGCACTCACGCTGGAGGAGAGGCGGTAGGCGGGGGTGGACTGGTAGATCTCGTTGGCGTGGGTCTGGGGGTTGGGGCAGCGCGCCGTCGCCTGCCGCTTGCCCCTGCCCGTGGAGCGGCTGTGCATCATGCAGGGCTGTGCCACCGGCTGGCTCTCCTGGCTGGTGAAGGGGTAGCACTCGTCCGTCACCACCCTGGGCAGAGGGACAAGGACATGGGGAGGGGAACGACCACCCTGCTCCATCCCCAAAACCCCCTCCCCATAACCCCACTCTCCATCCCACCTGG